TTCAGACTTTGTATCACGCCCAAAGGGATTATTTGTTTCATTTGCACACATAGACGTTTTGACAGATGCTAATGTCCCTCTGGGTTAATAATATTTAAAAACAGCGTATTTTATAAATTACAAAATGAACTTTTCATATATTTGAATAAATATTTATGAGGCGTTATTAATAAAAAGGAGAATAAAGGAAACCCTATGAATAATTCTCAAACGCTTAGTCTGAAATTTTACGCAAATCACTGAGTACAGGGGGGTGTTCACGTATTTTTTAAGGATTTTGCAAAGGTTTATATTTATAAACAAACCTTATAATCTCATTTTCTAATATATTCCGTCTGAGAGCCCTTTTGTTGAACCATCATATTACATTTTGATTTCCAAGAGAAAAGCCTTTTCCTGAAAACATCAAGGTTAATTTTATGCCACTTCTCGTTCACAATGTTCCAAAGTCCATTCAATGTTTGGGGATGCCACGTATAAAGAGCTTGTTTTAAAAGTACCAATGCACATTAATCCATAGGAGACACATCAGGAGATTTGGGGGATATGCATCTAGAGGGAATAGCTTCAATTGCGGTTTCGTATCTCATTTCTTTTCAAAACATAAAGCAATAAATTTAGAGGTATGGTTTGTGGCCTTATCCTGATGGAACTTAATACAGTCAAGATTGTTTGGATAAAGAGATGCAATTTCGTCTTTTAATATAGGAGTTTAAAGTTATATCTGATTGTAATCCGAATTAATTTTGATATTTGCTTCTACTTTCCTTATTTTAAGTTTCCCGTTATAAAAGAATCCAGTAAGAACAACAAAACCTTTAGAAAAATTGTCCTTGTATTTTCTGAACCAATATATTGTGTCTTTTTCTCCTCTTTTTCGGCAGTAAATTCATATTTTTCTGTTGCAATCGTTATACGTATGTCCAAGCTTCATGAGTTGTAACTACACTGAAGTGCCACTAAATTAGGGATAGACATGGCTATGCAAATTGAATAGCGCTGCGCCGCATCTGGGCTTACGTGAGGAAGTTGTGGTAAATGCACATACAGCTAGCACTATGCTCGTTGATAATCAGTTGTTTCACATACCAGTATAGGTAAAATTTCAGACATAGACAGCTTCAATATCTCGCAGATAGTAGACACTCGATCGCATGGACCATACAATTTCCAAAATCCTCAGCGGAATAGGATTTTAACGGTCGACAGTGTCAAGAGCATACCGAGAATACACGGATGGTGGGAAAAAGAACTAGCGATCTGGCATAGTGCAAAACACAATTAACTTAGAACAATCGTGGTGTGAGACGTCTCAGCCGTATTGTACATGGTCAACGAAGCCAAATATTAGCTCAAATTACCACCTAGCTGAAGCAGGCGACAGTCGTACAGTCAGTAAAAAGATCGTGTATCTCTCCGTTCACCATGTGGGCTTCGAAAGCCGTAGACACAACAGGGTACCTTTCCTAAATGCATGCCATCGAGTTGCCATTTTTACCTGGGCAAGAGAATATAGAGAATAGACACTAGTGGACTTGAAATGTGTAGGAGGGATGAGTCTCGGTCCGTCTAATTAATAGCAATGGGAGGCTGAGAATATGGCGAGAGAATCATGAAATTATGAATCCAGTATGGCAGATTGGATCCGTACAAGGCCGTGGAGGCTTAATCATGGTCTGGGATGCTTTCTTGTGGTTGTGTTTGGGGTCTTTGGTACTTGTTCCAACCTCCTTCAATATGATTCTGTACATAGAGTTGATGAGCTATCATCTCCATTCATTTATGTCCCTGTCATTCACACGGAAAGGGAGTATCCCAGAAAGATAACTGCGCCTCTCACAGCTTACGGTTGGCTACTGGTTGGTTGGATGGATGAGCATTCGTCTGACTTCTCTGTCATAAATTAGCTACTTAAAACTCCAAAAGCACAAACATACGAAGGTGATACATCATTACATTAAGCAGGGATATGAGTGAAGGGTGTGGCCTCGATGCCCGTTTCTTGTTCCATTTTTTTCCAAGAAATGAACAGTGGAATTTTACGTGTGGCTGGCTTGCTTTTTCGTGATGATGCAGTTCTTCTGGTTCATTGCACTGTGGGTAAGGAGTATTTCATATCTATAAATTGGGTATAAAAAACGTTGCTGATAATATGTGTGGTTAATGTTAACATTTTTCTCCACTCTCTTTATTTTTAATTTGCCGTTATAGGAAAAATCAGCAACAATCACAAATCTCTTTGAAACACTTCCTTTAGACTCTTTGAGTTTTGTTTTAAGATCTTTCTCTCCTCTTTGATAATAATAAATGGATCTCTTTATAATGCAGTAACTTAAATACACCCAAGATTCATCTATTGTGACAAAGTTTTCCATTTTTGTCCGGATTAATATTTCTTATAAATAATTCTGCAACGAAGTCTGCGTTTGGCGCTATGTCTTCGAAAATCGTGATGCCAATTTTTTTTTCTTTTTTTCTTTTTTCTTTTTCTTTTTTTCTTTCTTTTTTTTTTTTTTTTCTTTTTTTTTTTTTAAGCCCAAAGGAGCGTCACCTCAGAAGGGCTATGAATTTCGTTTTGCTACTTTGCGTCGATTCACATTTCAAACTGTTGACACCAAATATTATCACCCTGTGTTATACTTAAATTAAATAATGAAGAATCTGCATAATAATATTAATTTTAATCACTGATCTAGTATGGTTCTCGCCTTGTGATAAAACAACAGTACCTAGAGTCATCAAACTTTGAATAACATAATCCTCCCCCGAATATTTGAATCTGAAAATCCACATTTGGAATTTGTTTTATTATTGATTTTATATTTTGTAAAGCATTTTTGAGTATTTGATTCAGATACTCAACGGTTTCAAAGCGAGCAAGGGCAACACTGAACGGGGGGAAAAACATTTTTATCTCCAGCGCGCGAGAGTGTGCAGTGGAAATTCTAAATATATGCTTATTTTAAAATTATTTTGCCACATTGGTGTTTAATTGAATTTTATGGTTTAGTGCGAAGAACATGATATTTAATAAGTAACACACAAAACGTTAAAAAAACGCATCTTTAGTCGTAATGTAAAATCTGAAAACTTTCAGATATTCTTTAATTTATTTATTTCTTTTCGATTGATGGACCTGTTTTTTTTTTTTTTTTTTTTTTTTTTTTTTTTTTTTTTTTTAAAGCACTGAGAATTTTGATAATTTTGCAACTTTCCTTTCACTTGCTGGATTTCTTTACATTAAAGTCTTACCTTTGCCCATTCGAACCATTCTATTTTTCCTTGAAAATGTATTTGGAACAATTTTTCCACTTGAAAGCAAATTTGACGTTTTTTAACTTTCTTGTTGATAATAATGTAGCTTAAGATATCGAAAGGCTATGTCTTTCACAGCGTTTTACGTCCTTTTACGAAGTAAAAAGGAAGTATTGTAATCGTTAAAAGTTTCAGGCACCACATTTCAACGAAAATATCCATTTTGACCGCTATCGAATGCAATTTAACGATGGTTTTGCGTGATATCTGTACGTAAGAACAGAATAAAAGACTCTTTTCCTCCAAAAAAATTATAAAACTGCTTTAAAATGAATTCTGAAGAGAATTTTTCGTGGTGTCTGTACGTACGTACGTATCTCATAACTCAAAAACGATTAGCCTCAGAACGTTGAAATTTTATATATAGATGTGCACCTCCTATTTTGGTTGCAATCGGCCACACCAAACGTATATAAATATATTTAGATATATATACCCTGCTCAGTGATCTCAGTTTCTTTACTCTTATATGTTTTGTAAATTGTGCAATTTTTTGCTTTAAAAATGATTGAATTATGTTGTTTTTATCTTCCGGTTAAGGTTTTTATGCCTTTAGCAAACCTGCAAGCAATATTTGTAGAATTATCAACAATTTAAAAGCTGTTTAAGTTCGGTTAAGCCTAATTTTTAAATAACATGGCGGACATGCTTGTCTACATTTGAAACAGCAGAATAGTAAATTTGTTGCCAATCTAGAGAGACTAAGCTTCGCAACAACAAAGATAACGCCTTCATTTATTATTGCGAATTAAATCATGCTTAATCTTTTGTCTAATTTTTTCGAGGAAATAAGTGTTTTAGATTTACTTCCTAATTTTTAATATAGATATTTTGAGTTTTTATATATTTTTGCCTTGTCGCGAAGTGAGAACTGAATTAATTGAATGAGAAATACTCACTCGTCTGTGAAAAGCTGTTTCCTTTTTGTTTTGTTTGCTTAATTTCTTTTATACATCGTTTTAGATTTATTATAGTGTTTGAATAGAACATGTGGCAACGATTACATAATTCTTCAAATGATATAAATCTTGAGCATTCTGAGTTGTAATATGAACGAAATATAAGGCTGTTAAGTGAACCTAGCCGCAGAGTGTCGCTACGGTAAACAAATATAGCGAATGTTAAAGAGTGCATTAATTCTATTGTTGTTTATGCGCTACGGACGAAGTAGATTTAATTCAATCCAATAAGTTCAGATGAAAAATGCAGGAAAATATGCGCATAATTTAATATTCCGTAGAAGGAAGTGTAGTGTACACATCAGATTTTTTAATAATTAGATAGTAATCATTTTCTTCGGAAAGAACATAAACATAGCCTTCCATCCATTGCTTCTTTAATAGCCTCGTTTCCAATGAAAAGAATACTTTCAAGTAGCAGACGATAATACTTTTAGAAGTATTAGTTGCAGTTAAAAAAAATTTCCAAGGAGACCATGGTTTTTAATCGCAGAGCAAAATTGCCTAAGAATTGTGCTAACAGCCTCTGTGTATTTTGATTGCTCTTTTGTAATGCTTCCTATGAAAAGCCAAGGAAAAAAAATGTGAAATTGTGCTTATTTCAATTTTTTATTTTAATAAAGTTAAATCAAATTTTGTGTTAGGCTTTTAAATGTGTTGTAACTAATTTGTAATTTAGTTATGATGCCATTCAACTTTGAAAAGATGAAATAATGAACTGCATTATTTTCGACACATTTCTTTATTTATATATATAGTATATATATATACATAAAAATTTATTATATGATAATTTGTGATTATGATATTAATTTTAATCACTGATCTTTCTTTATATCACTGGTACAGGAAAAATACATGTAAAATTACATATAGTCACGTAACGACAACATTTTAATATAAGAGTTACATCACACATCACGTGAACACATTCTTAATTTTGACATCAAATACCGAGGGGTAGAAGATTTCATTCAAAACATGTTAAGTCCAGATAAGAAATGAACATTTAGAGGAACCACAGATTATTCAAAAAGTGCTTTTGGGGAAGTGCGTTAGAATGTGCCATTAAAAATTTCAAAACTACTCATACATTTTGAATACTGCATTGTCGTTAATTTGTTTCATTTTTGTAGAATGAAAGTGTCTTTTATACATAAGATTTTTTTTAGTGATTCTTTTTTGCAGCTTGCATTTTCAAACTTCGAAATCTTCGGGATCCGTGATCTGAAAAGAAAAATAAAGTCAGTTTTAGAATTTTGAAAGTTTGGGAAAAGAAACATAGAGAAAAGAGAATAGCTTCAATTGTTTTAACGTAGGATTACATTTCTTCGTAGTAGTTTGATAGGAAAGGAAAAATTGAAACGCTATTTGAAGTGTGCGCGGAAGCTTATATCTTTATAACTACAAACGTTACATTAAATCGAAATACCTCATTAGATAGACGAAAGAGGACATTAGCAACCACAGACACACACACCATATAAATAAATAAATAAATAAATAAAAATTGGGCAAAAAATATACCCATAGTAATGTGTCAAAAATAGCAAAATTTTGGTGAAGCCAGTGCGCATGCGCGATCACGTGTGAGTGACAAGTTAATCTGGCAAACAGTGTGTTCGAGTGGTGTTTGCTGTATTTTATAGAAGATGAAAAGGCAGTACCGTTCGTAGGCAATTGGCTGCCCACGTACTTTCTAAGATTGCTGCCCCCAAATTAAAAAAAAAAATGCTCAGTGATAAATAAAATTTTTATTTCATACTCATTAAGTACTTGCATATGACAAACTGTGTAAAAAGTACAGGGTGATCTTTTTTAATGTGACAGTGTTTGGAGTGCCCTGTAGCGCAATCCAATAGCCGAAATGGCACCAAACTTGGTATTTAGACTAATCAAGACATGGGAAAAAGGATTCCGTGAAAAAAATTTTAGTTCCAAAAATCGCCGCTAGGGTATTTTGTGGCGCTGCTGTAGCTTACAATAACGAAAATTAGCATAAAACATGGCTATCAAAGAAAACTGCAAATGTTGTGCTATGACAGCTCCAGTAATAGAGGCTATGAAAGCAAGTAGTAAGACAGCTCCGACAAATAATCTCAGCTGAAGTAAACGAGCTCCAGTGGACATGCCTCTCACGCTACCGGAACGTTCGGTTACTGGTGAAGCTGTATTACCTGAATCAATGTGATGCATCCGCAGCTCTTCGGGAATTTCGAACCAGAAAAAAATTACGAAAGGGGCCTTTGTCGCTGAATGGTCTTAAAAATGATTTAGAAGTTCGAGGAAACCGGGTCACTGACCATTCGCGCTGGGAGGACTTAAACCAGTATCAGGAGATGTAATAACATGTGGCAACTGCAATTGTCGAAGGATCGCACGGAACGATTGGTGGTACTAGCAGCGCCCGGGGTGTAGCTCGACAATTGGACATGAATTATTCCACGGTATGGAGAGTTTTGCAGCGCGTTATCGGATTTTACCCCTACAAAATCAGTCGCTTGCACGAACTGAAATGAAGTGATTATGATAAACGAGTGACATTCGCCCTATTGTTTCTTGCCAGGGTAGAAATTGATGATGCTTTCCCATGGCAGATTCTGTGGGGAGATGAGTGCCATTTTTATCTTAATGGGTCCGTAAACACACAAAATAACCTAATTTGGGCTTCTGAGCAGCCCCTCACCATGCATGAAATCCCATTAAATTCTCCAAAAGTCACTGTTTGGTGTGGCTTCACAGGTGAATTCGTGATTGGGCCATTCATTTTTGAGACCATCACTCCGACAGGACCCCAAACGTGTACCATAATTGCAGAAAGGTACCACGAAATGCTTCAAACGTTTGTTATTCCACAATTTCAGCAAAGAAACCGTCTCCAACAATCTTTATGCAGGATGGTGCTCCACCACACATTAGTAATAAGGTAAAGCAGCTGTTGCTCCAAAACTTCACTGATGATAGAGTCATAAGTCGCAGTTTTCCAGTTGCATGCCCGCCTCGGTCCCCTGACCTTACGCCATGCGATTTTTGGCTATGGGGTTATTTAAAATCTCAAGTGTATGTTGGTGGAGACTCAAATTTGTCTAATCTAAAGGACAAAATAACAAAGACAGTGCGACAATATGCGGAATATTCTTCGTGTTATTTCGTGATATGTTACATACGGCTGTGGAGAACGTTGTGCACAGAATGCACGGTGTTATTTCTGAGAACGGTGCTCACATTGAATGTGGTCTAATTCCTCACCGGGGAAGTTAATGTACTAAATAAACATTAATAATTTACCTGTACGATTGTATGTCTTGATGTCCCATGTCTTGATTAGTCTAAATACCAAGTTTGGTGCCATTTCGGCTATTAGATCGCGCTACAGGGCGCTTCAAACACTGTCACTTTAAAAAAGATCACCCTGTACTTATATGACAAGTACTTACACTGAAATTTAAATATTTAGGTGTGGTATCGCGAAAGTCCGACCGCCCTTGATTTTGACCGCCCGCTTGCTTTTACGCGCTGCACCCCGGTTCGCGAAATGGTAAACCGCACATTGAGTTGATCAATGTTAACGAGTTTCGCTTACTGTGCGTGCTCAATGGTCTACCGTTGGCGTGGGAGGAAATGCTGGCGACTAAGCATAAGCAACCCTACACAAGCCTGTTCATCACGTAGGTCTTATCGACTGTTTACAATTGCAATACTACTGGAATTTGTTTCTGCTCTTTGCATTCGCTTCTGTTTCATTTCATTTTGGTTTATTTTGTTCATAAACGTTATATTTAGTATTACTTATTTATAATAATTTCCTTGACTTTAATTCAATAATTTAAACTGAATTTATTCTTTAATTTGTTAAAGTATATACGAATGGAACGTTTGGTAAATACGCAATTGTTTTTATTCCTCAGCAGTATGATCAATAAAGATTCAACGACTAATGTACTATCATGTTTCCTATTTTGTAATCATTCTTAAACGAAAATTTGCTTATTTTACAATCGATATTTACACTCTAAGTAATGAAGGAACTTACAACCTAACAAGTTTTAAAACTCCGAACTGTTTAAGCCCAGATAACAGAATATCAACCACACACCGAACTTATCTTCTTGTCAAATCATAGCAAAGTCACAATTGTGCCAAATTCTCTTCTGGGCATGCGCAGTATGTGCAGTTTGCCATTACGCCTCCGGTTAGGAACTGCCCTGTGAAAAGGCACCTGATTTCTAAAACATCATTTCAATCGCAGTGTGGTGACAAGTAACTAGCCAAGTATTACATGGCAGTTCATTTATAGATTTAACATTTGCTAAGAATCTAACTGCAGACATCTTAAAATTATGTATCTTATTTCTCTTACCATCGACGACCGATTTTCCATACGGTCGTTTTGAATGAATAAATGTAATAAATATAAAATAAAATAAATGTGTGTGTCAAATCTTTTGTTTGTTTTATTTGTGCTATTCTCTAAACGCATTCAACATTAGTGGCCCTTTGAGAGCCTACCGTCAGTTTGTCTTGTAAGCGTTCATTTATCTGACTCAAGTTGTTTGTCACCATGGTAAAACATTTTTCATCGATTTTTAAACTATTTTCTGATAGGTTACAGAGCTCGAATTTTACATATATGTTGCTTTTAATTTTTCAAAACTCAATTTAGCCTTTTTTAAACGCAACGTTGAAACGAATTTTGCACATATCTTCAGTTAACGGGAAAACTAAGCATCTCAGAACTTTATGAAATCTTAAATATAATTTCTGAATTTTTGTTGAATTTTCGAAATATCGCTTAATTTCTTCCGAGTATTCTCGTCAGTTAATTTCAGACTTCAACGAATAAAATCATGCCACCTCTAAAATTTTGAATTTGGCAGATAGCAAAACAGACTTTTCGCCCTCCTTCAAAACAAGAATGCGAAAAAGATATTAATTGGGAGATTTTCGACATTCTTTTTTAAAGTTTACTGCAGTTTATAAACAGACGAAGAAGTTGCGTTTTTTTATTTGGAGTGACATGATTCCCATGGAGTTTCGAAGTTAACGATGCCATTATACGTGTTTATCTTGCTTCTGCAAATCTGTCATTCAGATTAAAAAAGTAGTAAATTAAAAATTTATAAAAAACGTGATTTTTTAAATAAACTGCTATTTAAAACTCATAAAATAATTAATATACTAAAAGAAGAAAAATTATTTGTCATATATTTGAATTGGAAAAACACATTTAAATAATTATGTTTACAAAATTCATCTACAATTTGATACCACGAATAATAATGGCGTAGGCTCCTAAATAATGAAATTTAATTATCGAATCCCACTTTCTTTATAAATTTATCGAGTTTGCTTCTCGCTGTTATTCTTATACGTGATATAAATTGTAGCGGAATTTTGTAAAGAGAATTATTTGATTTCTTATTCCCATTAAACTTTTTAAGAGCCGAATTATTTTTCTTCTTTTAGTTCAGAAGGGATTTTATGAGTTTTAAATAAAAGCTTATTTTGTAACAATTTAATTTATTTTGTAATTACCATTATTGTTTATTGTCTTGAAATTATTTAAGTTTTCGTTTCCTTCTAGAGATTTAGAGAAGACTTGTCGTCTAGGAGAAAATTGTGCTTTGGAACAGAAAAAATGAGAAAACGGAATCTTGGACGAACAAACGACTTCCATCCTGGGTAAGCATTTAATAATGAAATTGATTGCTACAACAAAGACTAATAATTATGCCTCCGAATATATAACTCTGAATATTATAACTAACTCGGAATATTATAACCCGGCACCATTGCAGACGTTGGCGTCAATGGAACTGGTTGAAACCAAAATCTGTTCCTCTCAAATATCTGAAAAGCCTACGCATATAATTTTTTTAAAATGGATTTCCTTCCCCTATGCCAAGCAGAATGTTACTGCTTAAGTAAAGCGATTATTTCCTTTTTTTGTGGACATTTGTGCGGTTTTCCCCACTGCAGTTTCCCCTTAGGGCAGCAGCAACTGCGAGGCATCAGCAGCTAAACAGGGGAAAGGTCCATTTAAATAACAGAGCTACTACTTTCAGTGGCTTCAGAAGAATGATTGGCATGACATTTAACAACTTTCGAAATCAGTGAGCCAAGGATTAACGTGAGGGGGGGAAAGCACCAGGTACAAAAGTGATGCAGGCCTTTGGGCGACCTTCCGAGGTCTGAATGCGGCGTTTCGGGCCACTTGCTGTGAAAGA